GGTCATTTAAATTCATCTCTAGGAGACGAACTTCCTAGTTTGAGTCATTGAAGTTTCACCCCTAGGAGACGCACTTCCTAGTCTGGGTCTTTCAAGTTATATTTTGTTTTAGGAGACGCACTTCCTAAATTGAGAGTTTACCCCTAGGAGATGCACTTCCTAGTTTTGGTTTATTTAAGTTCATTCCTAGGAGATGCACTTCCTAGTTTGAGTCATTGAAGTTCCACCCTTACGAGACGCACTTCCTAGTCTGGGTCTTTCAAGTTATATTTTGTTTTAGAAGACGCACTTCCTAAATTGAGAGTTTACCCCTAGGAGACGCACATCCTAGTTTTGGTTCATTTAAGTTCATTCGTAGGAGATGCACTTCCTAGTTTGAGTCATTGAAGTTCCACCCCTAGGAGACGTACTTCCTAGTCTGGGTTTTTCAGGATATACCTTTTAGGAGACGCACTTCCTAAATTGAGATTTCACCCCTAGGAGACGCACTTCCTAGTTTGAGTCATTGATGTTTCACCCCTAGGAGACGCACTTCCTAGTCTGGGTCTTTCAAGTTATATTTTGTTTTAGGAGACACACATCCTAAATTGAGATTTCATCCCTAGGAGACGCACTTCCTAGTTTGAGTCATTTGTGTTCGCCCTAGGAGACGCATTTCCTAGTCTGGTTCATTGAAGTAGGAGACGCACTTCATAGTCTGGGTCTTTCAAGTTATATTTTGTTTTATGAGACGCACTTCCTAAATTGGGAGTTCATTCATAGGAGACGCACTTCCTAGTTTGGTTCATTCAAGTTTCACCCGTAGGAGACACATTTCCTGATCTGGGTCATTCAGTTTTTATTTTTAGAAGACGCATTTGCTGGTCAAAGTTTCTTGGTTTTGCTCACAGGAGACGCACATCCTAGTTGAGTCTTTAGCTTACTCGCATCATTGCTTCAATAGCATAAGTGGTTCAGAGTTTTGCTAACAACTCACAAATCTTGTGAGTAAAAACTGGGGCAGAAAATTTTGTTTGTTTTGTTGTTTTGATTGCAGGCACCCACCTGGAGAACAAGGGAATTCATTTAGAAATTATTTCAAGTTTCAAGTCAGTAGCAGGCACCCACCTGGAGAACAAGGGAAGTCATTTCAGAATTCAATTCAAGTTAGAAGTAGCAGAAGCTCGCGGCAAGAATGCGGGTCAACAGTCCGAGATGACCAAAGAAGAAGTTTCAATCCAAAAATAAAACAAAAGCAAAATAAATTTAAAAAAGAAAAATAAAAGAGGGAAGTGAATTCAAATGCAGAAGCAGATGAAAGATGCGAGCTGCTCAAGACATGGCTGAAGTCACGAGCACTGCCTGTCTGGTCTTGATAAGAAGAAGCCGTGGAAGGTTTAACTAACACTTGTAGCTAACAAGCATCAAGATTCAGATCAGAGTCCGCATGAAGAACCAACCAAGACTCAAGATCAAGCTTCAGAAGACTCATAGATAGGAATCTTGTAACTCGTAGCTGATAGGCTTAGTGAGTCTTTTGAATCTTGATTTTTGATGTAATAACAGGACCGCGGACCGGAACCTCGACGGAACGGCACTTCACTCGACTTTCTAACTCATCTCTTCCTCATTTTCCCGAACGACACTGACTTGATTCCTTTATATCCAAGGATATGTAGGCAACCTCGGAAGCAAGGTTCAGTCAGATCTTTCAAAAATGCTTCCCACGGAGTATCCAAACGGGCAAAGATCGCTCGTATCCGCTAAATTTATCTTTGCCCAAAAACTCTTCGTGTTTCCGAGCAAAGAGGGGCAGCTGTGAGCACGTGATTTTTCCCCTATGTGAAATACTCCTAGAAATTAAAGAAATAGATTTTTCCCCAATTGTTTGCAATTTTTATAAGATTTTTGTAGGATTTTTGTTAATTGTTTAGATTTCTATGCATGTTTACTTTTATTTATTAAAATCATAAAAAAATACCAAAAATATTATGCATTGCATTTAGATTTTGTGTTCACATTTTAGGATTAATTAATTAATTAATTGCTTTACTAAAAATGAAAATTACAAAAATGGCTCATTTTTACATTTTTAGCTTTAAAATTTGGATTATTAAGTTTTCTCTTTTAATTTAGGATAAACTGATTTTTATAAATATTATAGTTAGATAATTAGCTTAATTTTACAATTTGAATTAATTTAGGAATTTAATTTAGGTTTTTTATTAATTAAAGAAAGAAAAGAAAAGAAAAAGAAAAGGAACTTGAAAAAGGCTGGTTTTTAAATTCAATTGGGCCAAATATTTTAGAAGCCCAAATTTTCCCCCAACCCAGCCCAGACCGGGTCGACCCAACCCAACACCCAAGATCCGGACCCTTCTCCTTATTAAACTAACCTAATTTCCTAGACCTAGACCCTAAGGAGACACTCTAAGGAGATCCGCCGTTTATAATATAGAAGAGACCCCCCCCTCCTGATTTTTTTGATCTTCTTCGTTACTCTAGCCGCAATACACAAAATAGACCCCCCTGAAGATCGTCTTCTTCGAGACCCCCCCTCTCCCGNACTCTAAGGAGATCCGCCGTTTACTAATATAGAACGACGAACCCCCCCCCCCCCCAACTTTTTTTGATCTTCTTCGTTACTCCAGCCGCAATACACAAAATAGACCCCCCTGAAGATCGTCTTATTCGAGACCCCCCCTCTCCCGTGAAACTTTGTCTTCTGCACACCCACCCTATTCCAGCCTTCCACCCTCTTCATTACCACAACAACCCGCTGCCAGACCCATCTCCCTCACACGAACAACACCAAGCACATAACCCTTCTTCTTCTTAAAAAGGACCAAGAGAACAAAAACGAGAAAGGAGATCTCTCTTGAACAAAAAGCCAGCTGCTTCAGCCGTTTCCACTCTCAACCAAGAACACCAACCATCGCCGCCGCTGACCCCTTCTTCTTCTTCATCTCGCCGGTGACGACCTCTTCCAATTCCAGCCAGCAATCAGCTGCTGTTGAACACCATGAGCGCACATGAAATAACCACCAAATAATAGCTTCACGAAGTTCAGCCCTTCAGTCAATCTTTTGTTTGTGGGTTTTTATTTTCGGTGATATCTCAACAATTGTTGGTCGAGGTTCATCGAGGTTGCTGGCGTCGTCTTCGATTCGTACCTATTTTGGGATCGAGTTTGAGATTCCGGCAGCAGTAGTTGTCAACTTCATTTATCGTTGGAGAGTCGAGGTCCTTTGTTGCGTCTTGGTCGCGGTTCTTTGCTCGAAATTGTTTCAATTTTCTTATTGGATTTCAGATTTGAGGTCAGATTTTACTCTTGTCTTTTCTTAAAATTCAGTCTATCAATTTTTAATGCAATGAATTCATCTGTTTGAGATTATCAGTGTATACATTTGGTTGTTACTTATATTATCTTTATATTCTTTTTATTTGGCTTTAAAGGTTATTGTTGGATCTTAGCATATAATTCATTTAACTTGGTTAAGTGGAAGAATCTGAAACTTGAGCCAATATAATACTTACAATTTGTGTAAGTATATTTCGTAGTAAACCATTCTATTTTGGTCCTTCGTTGGTAGCTTGTAACATAGAATGGGATAGTTGATTCATATAATCTTAAACTTAGGAAAATAATCAATGACACAAAGAATATTGTTTCCCCCACGTTCACTGTTATGATTGATCACTCTTTGTTATTCTCAAAAAAATGCAAGCTTGTTGCTGTTGGTTCTGTTGATGGGTCTGTTCATACTTGGTCAGTATCAAACGCTAAAATGGTAAGCACTTTGGAAGAACACACGAACCCTGTTCTATGTTGTTCATGGAGTGGTCTTGGTAAACCTCTGGCTACTTCGGGTGAGAGTGGAATCATATGTAGTTGCTTATTTGAATTTCCTTAATGTGATTCACTTGAAAAATTGGACTTGGATTTTAGATGAAGTACAGTAGAATTGGGATTAAATTCGTGTTCTTGTCTTAATATAGATTAATTGAATCATCGTGATTGTGTACACGTTCGCGTGACATAATTGCGATCTTAAAAACAAAAATCGGGGTATGCGTCCGCGCAACTTCGGCCAAACTTTTTTAATAATAACAAAGCGTTATTAATTGTGGACACGTTCGCGTGACATGATTTTTGATGCGCCAAACAAATGGGTACACATACGCGTGACCTGTTTTAAGATAATTTCTTAATTAAAAGAGGCAAATGCACATAGGTTCTAAAATGAGTAATTAAACAATTTTATTAAGCCAAGGATGATCAAAGCGACTGTGCTAGAACCACGGAACCCGGGAATGCCTAACACCTTCTCCCGGGTTAACAGAATTCCCTACCCGGATTTCTGTGTTCGCAGACCGTAAATAGAGTCAAATTTTCTCGATTCGAGTTTTTAAACTGTTGACTTGGGACACCATAAATTATCCCAAGTGGAGACTCTGAAAAATAAATTAATAATCCCGTTTTGATTGTCATTTAAATTGGAAAAAACTCCCTTATACCCCTTTCGGGATGTGAAAAAGGAGGTGTGACACCATATGCTAATATGTCTCATTAATCTCTAATGATATTATCTTTATTCTCTTGGAAAATTCTGACTTACACAAGAGAATTCTCAATGAATAACCTAGTTCATCTAGATTACTTGGTATGTACTCTCTACATATTTTGAAATAATTACAATTGGATCATGATAAAAAAGAGAGTGCCACTTAATCCCAATCTCCTTCAAGTTTATCCATTAGAAACGAACCAGTTTTACCAAAAAGTAGTCCCACGCGCCATAATTGCCTAGATTTTAGGGAAGAGTCCAACGTCTTTTAAAACTGACTTTCCCGGTGTGATTACACTTCTGAACTTCAAAAGGAAATCGTTACCCACTCAAACTTCCCTCTTTATATTGATTAGGCTTAAACCATTTCTTCACTTTTAATCTTCCATCCATTAAAAATTTTCTTTATCTTCTCTCATCTCTTTTACACACACATCTCCTCTACACACATCAATGAAAAACCAATCTGAAAACTCTTCTTCACCTCCCAAAGAATCAACACCTACTCCTTCGATCATGCCTTCAACCACACCTATCTCTAAGAAATCAAGGTTCAAGATGCTTGCTCGTAAGACAGTCACTAACAGCGAACAAATCAAGAAAATAAATGAGAAATTCAAAGAAAGCGAGGAAGAGAAACCCCAAAAATCAGCAACTGAGAGGGAAGAAACTGTTTCATTTGAAACAGAACAGGTAACCTCTAGTCTAAGTAGTACTTCTAAGTCATTTCTGAAGTGGTTGAAAATTTAGAGAACAAGTTTGTGGTTGGAACGATTGCTGGGATAAAGACTACAATGTCTAGGATAGTTGGTGGTAAAAATAAAAAGTAAAAAGAAAAAGAGAGTGAGGGTGTTCAAGGAGATGTAAGAGGAAAGGGAAAAGGAGTGGTTGAACCTTTACATACTCCTGTTGGGTTGTTTGAGGAAACAGGGGAGATGGTGTTATGGAGTGAGGAACCTGTTGACGAGGAAGAAAGTTGGAGAGAAGAAAGAGGTAGTGGATCCAGTGATGCAAGTGCAGCTGAGGGGCTGGTTAGGTTGAGGAAGAGGTTCCAAGAACCTGTTCCATCTATGAAGGAACCCCTCGAAGAGTTTTTGAAAAAGGTGTCTGATAGATACAATCCAAAGAAGAAGAAAAGTTCAGGAGATAAAATTCCTCAAACTACTAGGGCACAGAAGAAGAGAAAGGTTGCCTCTTCTATCCCTGTAGAGATTCCTCCTAAAAGAGGAAGAGCTACAAGGAGTCAGAAGAAGTAGAGTGAGGCTAAACATGAATGAGCCTTAGAAGAGAGTAAAAGAAAAGCTGCTGCAAAGGGAAAGAAGAAAGTAAGTGAGCCTGTTGATGCAATTGAGATTAAGGAGATGGACATAGTTCTTCATGATGAAGACGAGGCAGAGGAGGTGGAGGTTGTGACTCCAAAGGCAATGAAAAGAAATACTTCCAAAAAGAAGTCTCCTTCAGAGATTGTTGATGTAGAGTCATCTACCTTAAGAACCAGGTCTACCAGGAAATCTAGGAAACTGCAAGTAGCGGAGGAGGAAGAAAGTGAAGAAGAATAGGAAACTGATGAGGAATAGAATAAAATGGTGAAGTTTGGAAAGATAAAAATCTTGAAAGGTAGACTCATCGGGTACTTGGACGAGGAAGGAATAGTGATGCTGCTGGAGAAGCTAGAACTCCAGGGTTGGAAGGACATGGTCCTTCAGGTGGAAGGAAGACTAGCCAGAACTGAGATTGTGGAGTTCATGGCAAATTGTAAAATCAAGAATGGCAGGGCCACCAGTGTAGTGAAAGGAATGAATGTGAGCTTTAACGACAAGGAGCTGGGAGAAATTCTAGGGGTATCTACTGAAGGGTACAATGACCACAAGAAGCTGAAATGGCCAAGCCTAAAAAACCTCCCCACCTCCTTTGCCATTATAAGAAAATTTGCTAATAATGAGTTAGAGTTACAGTCCAAGGATGTGTATAAAAGTGAGATGAAGCTTGCCCACAAGATGCTATTTGAATTTGTCAACAAGGTTGTTCTGCCCAGGCAGGAAAGAAGGCATATTGCAACTTTCATGGACCTGGTCCTTATAGAATGCTTGGATAGTGGAGGGCAAATAAATTGGCGGGGGTTTATCATCCAGCTCCTTGATAGGGTAATCACTAGCACTAAAACTCACGCCATACCCTATGGTTTCATTCCCACTATTGTGCTAGCTCACTTCAAGGTTCCTAAAGAAATGGGATGTTAGCACAAACAAAGATCACTTTGTGGCCAACACCTTGACTGTTTGTGACTATGAAGTTCATGCTGCTGATAAAGAACCTGGTTCTTCCAAGCGGATGCCTGTGAATAGCAAAGTGTGAGCCTTGGTGCAGGAGAGTGAGGCTAAGGACGCTGAGATTGAGAGGCTGAAGAAGAGGCTGGCTGTGACGACCCGGCGGGTTGTCTTAAGAATTAACGCCCCGATCCCCTATTAACTCCTTTCCCCGTGTTTATTTCTGCTATTTTAGTTTGCCGGGGATGTTCGGTTTTAATTTCGGAGAGCTTTTGGACACTTAGTCCCTAAATGAGAGCTTAAGTCATGTAAATTTTAACCATAGTCGGAACAGTGTGAAGACAGCCTCGGAATGGAAATATAATGGTCCCGTTAGCTCCGTTGGGTGATTTCGGGCTTAGGGGCGTGTTCGGATTGTACTTTGGAGGTCCGTAGCTAATTTAGGCTTGAAATGCCGAAAGTGGAATTTTTGAAGTTTCCGGTTCGATAATGAGATTTTGATCCAAGGGTCGGAATGGAATTCCGAGAGTTACAGTAGTTCCGTTATGTCATTTGGGATATGTGTGCAAAATTTCAGGTCATTCGGACGTAGCTTTGTTGGAGTTTTGATCAAAAGCGGAATTCGGAAGATTTTGGAAACTTAGGCTTGAATCCGATGTGTTTTGGTTGATTTGATGTCGTTTGAGGTGTTTTGAAGATTGGGTACAAGTTTGAATAAGGTTTTAGGATATGTTGATGCCTTTGGTTGTGGTCCCGGGGGCCTCGGGTCTGTTTCGGATGCTCAACAGATCATTTTAAGTTGTAAAAATGTTGCAGATTTTGCTCAGCTCTTGCAGAGGAATTTTAACCTTCGCGTTTGTGAGTGGACTCTCGCGTTCGCGAAGAGTCAGTTGAGGAAGCTGAAATTTAAGCCTTCAAGTTCGCGAGGGAGGCACCGCGTTCGCGAAGGGTAAGCTTGGGGAACCATCGCGTTCGCGAGGGTCTTGTCGCGTTCGCGTAAGAGGATTTTAGTCAAAGTCATTTTTGTGCTTCGCGAACGCGAGGCTTTGACCGCGTTCGCGAAGAAGGATTTAAATGCCTGGGCAGAATGTTTTAAACGGTCTATTTCGCGAATTTTAGCCTAGGTTCCTCCATTGTTAGGCGATTTTGAAGCTTTTTGAAGAGGGATGAAGAGGGATTCAAGGGGAATCACTTGGAGGTAATATTTTTGACTTCATAACTCGTTTTATGTGATTAAAGACCTAATTAGTGGTGGAAAATTTGGGAGAAATGGGTAACTAGGGCTTGAGTTTAAGAGACCTAGAAAGGGGTATTTGAAGGGTCAATTGAACTCCAATTTTAGTGTTCTTGTTATGCATAGACTCGTGAGAGTATGAGGATATCAAAAATATAAATTTTACCCGATTCCGAGACGTGGGCATGAGGGGAATTTTGGTCATTTTACCTAATTTCGTGTGTTAGTTTAGAAATTAGTTTAGAATTTGATTGTAGAATCAGTTGCTTGAAGTGTTATTTACAATATGCAATTGAATTGAATAGATTTGGGCCATTTGGAGTCGGATACTCGTGGCAAAAGCGTGGTTTTGCGTTGACTTGCGCTTGTTCAAGGTAAGTGGCTTGTCTAACCTTGTGTGGGGGACCTTTCCCCTTAGGATTGATATTGTGATAATTGAAATGCCTTGTACGTGAGGTGACGAGCGCGTACTTGTGCTAATTGTTGGAAATCTGGTTTTTATTTCATTAAAAATAGCCTTGAATTGTGTTATTCTTTTCTTGCTTACACTACTTGGAAATTTAGCCTGCTGTTAGTCTAGAGAAGCATGTCCACTTGACTAAATTGTTCTATTTGACTTAACTGCCTTATTTGTATTACGTGAAGCATGCTAGGTTAGAATTATCTATCCGACTTTGGTCTGAAATTGATTGAATTGAGTTCTTGTTGTTGCTGTGTATTTACTTTGGGACTACGGGACGGTATCCCGGGAGCTCCCCTGTATGTTTACTTTGGGACTACGGAATTGCATTTCGGGAGATCCCCCTGCACTTTTACATTGGAACTAAGGGATTGCACCCGGTAGATTCCCAGTACTGAGTATTTATATTTGGGACTGCGGATGTAGTATTCCGGTAGATCCCCGCGCATTTATAAGTTGGACTACGGGACTGCACCCGAGAGATCCACTGGATATGATAATTATATTTGGGGACTACAGGACGGTATCCTGGGAGATCCCCGGTTATTATCTTGGGGCTGAGCTGTATTCTTTTACTATGTTTTACTTGCCTCTGTAATAGCTGTTGCTGTCTTTCATATCTTGTGTTACTTATTTACGTTGTTTATTTCACACTGTTAAACCTTATATCTTATTTAACCTCAGTAGGGCCCTGATCTTCCTCGTCACTACCCAACCGAGGTTAGGCTTGGCACTTACTGAGTACCGCTGTGGTGTACTCATGCCCTTCCTGCGCATGTTTTCATGTGCAGATCCAGGTACTTCGACGACCACCCCTGAGGCGAGGCGACTGTTATAGCGACTTCGAGGTATATCTACCGCATCCTCAGACCGAGGAGTCTCTTTCTATTCTTGCTGATAGTATTAGCCCTTTTGTATTTCAGTTCTTGTTAGACATTATGGAGTTAGAGCTATGTAGTACTTCTTAGCTTGTGATTCATGGGTATCCGGGTCTTGGATTTATGTGTTGGTTTTGAGAGTTAAATATGGTGTATGCCGAGCGACACATTTATAAATTGGTTATTTCTTATTTCTGTTTTAAATTGTTTTACTTCCGTAAATTTTGGTTTCTTTTCCGTAATTTAGGCTTACCTAGTCGTAGAGACTAGGTGTCGTCACGATGGTTCACGGAGGGCGAACCGGGGTCGTGACAAGTTGGTATCAGAGCTCGAGGTTCATAGGAGTCAAGAATCATAAGTCGGTTTATTAGAGTCTCGCTGATTGGTACGGAGACGTCTGTACTTATCTACGAGAGGCTATGTAACTGTTTGGAAAATTCTATTTCGTTTGATTTCCTTGTCGTGCGAGATTTTTGATATCACAATTCTAAACTTCTGTATTTTACTCTCTCACAGATGGTGAGGACACGTGCTACTCGAGATGACCAAGTAGCCGCGCCCCCTACTGGAGCCGTTAGAGGCCGGGGCCGGGGTAGAGGCTGAGGACGCGCTCGTGGTACAGCCAGAGCACCCGCGAGAGCTGCCGCTGAGGCACCACCAGCAGTACTAGCCGGAGTCCAGACACCTGATGCGTCTGCCACTACTACTCCAGCACTCCAGGAGACTTTGGCACAGTTTATGACCATGTACACCACTCTAGCTCAGGCAGGGTTGCTTCCCCTTGCTGCAGCTACGTCCCAGGCCGGGGGAGGAGCACAGACTCCCGCCGCCCGCACTCCTGAGCAGCGAGTGCACATTGATCAGGTCCCAGAGGCTATTCTTGTACAGCCGGTAGCCCCAGCCCAGCCCGAGTAGAAGGCAGTAGCTTCAGAGGAGGAGCAGAAGAGGCTTGAGAGGTTCAATAAGTATCAGCCTCCGACCTTTAGCGGACTAGCCTCAGAGGATGCCCTTGGATTTCTTGAGGAGTGCTACCGTATCCTCCATACTATGGGCATATCAGGATCGAGTGGGGTTTGTTTCACTACGTTCCAGCTTCGAGGAGCCGCCTATCAGTGGTGGCGTGCTTATGAGTTAGACAGTCCGGATGAGGCAGCTTCCCTGACTTGGGCCTAGTTTTCAGATATGTTCACGAGGGAGTTTGTCTCCCAGAGTCTTAGGGACGCCTGGCGCACGGAGTTTGAGCATTTGCGCCAGGGTACCATGACTGTCTCGGAGTATGTTGTCCGTTACACTGACTTGGCTAGACATGCACTAGCTTTGGTTTCTACGGTTCGCGAGAAGGTTCGCCGGTTCATTGAGGGGCTTATTCCCAACATCAGATCTAGCATGGCTCGTGAGTTAGAGATGGATATATCTTATTAGCAGGCGGTGAGCATTGCTAGGAGGATTGAGGGTATGCATGCTAGGGACAGAGAGGAGAGGGAGGCCAAGAGGTCTCGAGAGTCAATGTCACGCCCCAAAAACCGAAGAGCACGACCGGCGCTCAACCGAGTAAAACCGACTGAGCAAGCCTGTTAGGTTTCATTCTACCCAAACTAATTCATGAATAAATAGGAGATGGACTCCATTAATCACACTTAGTAAGTATTTCATTAACAACTTCCATTTCATTTCCATTAGCAGCTTAAATCATAATTATCAAAATATTACAAGTTTTATA